GAGCTATGTCCTCAAAGTAGACTTGACCATGATGACACAAATGGAGTAAAGCCTGTGGTAGAAAAGCACGCGGGACCTTCATTTGATGATGGGACAAACTCAAAATGAAAAGAAACAGATGTAAATATCCATTGAAAATTGGAACATGGAATGTACAAAGTATGAATCTGGGAAAACTGGAAGTCGTCAAAAATTAAATGGAACGCATAAACATCAATATCTTAGGCATTAGTGAACTGAAATGGACTGGTATTGGCCATTTTGAATCTGACAGCCACAGAATTTACTATGCCAGGAAAGACAAATTGAAGAGGAATGATGTTGCATTAGTCATCAAAAAGAACATATTCAGATCAGTCATGAGGTACAATGCTATCTGAGATAGGATAATATCCATATGCCTACAGGGGAGCTCAGTTAATACCACTATTATTCAAATTTATGCTCCAACCACTAAAGTTAGTGTGGATGAAATAGAAGAATTCTACCAACTTCTTCAATATGAATTTCATCAAACACGCAATCAAGATGTATTGCTCATTACTGGTGATTGGAATGCAAAGGTTGGGAGCAAAGAAGAAGGATCAGTAGGTGGAAAATATGGCCTTGGTGATAGAAATGATGCTGGAGAACGCATGGTAGAATTCTGAAAAAAAAACAGTGATTTGTTCATTTCAAATACCTTCTTTAGACAGCATAGGAGACGACAATACACATGAATCTCACTAGATGGAATGCATAGAAATCAAATTCACTACATCTGCGGAAAGAGACAGTGGAAAAGCTCCATATCATCAGTGAAAACAAGGCCAGGGGAAGACTGTGGAACAGACCATCAATTACTCATATGGAAATTACATCTGAAGCTGAAGAAAATGAAAATAAGTACACAAGAGCCAAAATATTACCTAGAATATATCCCACCAGAATTTAGAGATCATCTGATGAAAAGGTTTGATACATTAAACACTAAAGAGTGAAGACCAGAAGAGTTGTGGGATGACATCAAGAGCATCATATATGAAGAAAGCAAAAGGTCATTGAAAAGACAAGAAAGAAGGAAAAGGTCAAAATGGATGTCAGAAGAGACTCTGAAACTTGCTCTCCAACATAGAGATGCTAAAGCAAATGGAAGAAATGAGGAGATACAAGAGCTGAGCAGAAAATTTCAAAGACCAGCTTGAGAAGATAAAGCCAAATATTACAACAAAATATGCAAAGATTTGGAATCAGAAAACCAAAAAGGAAGAACACATTCAGAAATGAGTGAGTGCCTCCTGTGCCGCTCACTTTCTTGAAAGATTTCAGTTTTTATTCCATCAATTCCTGGTGCCTTGTTATTTGCCAATTCCTTCAATGCCCCTTGGATTTTTTATTTCACTATCAATAACTCTTGATCATATGCTACCTTTTGAAATGGTTGAACAGCAGTCATTCTGTTCTCTGTGACTCTATTTCTTCCTTCCATCTTCTTTTGATGCTTTCTTCATCATTCAATTTGGTCTTCATTAACAACCTGCGATATGCAGATGATACAACTTTGCTTGCTGAAAGTGAAGAGGACTTAAAATACTAATGAAGATCAAAGAGCACAGTGTTTAGTATAGATTGCATCTCAATGTAAAGAAACAAAAATCCTCACCACTGGACCAATAAACAACATTCTTTTCAATGGAGAAAAGATTGAAGTTGTCAAGGATTTCATTCTTCTTGGATCAACTATTGACACTCAAGGAAGCAGCAGTCAAGAAATCAAATGACATCTTGCATTAGGCAAATTTGCTGCACAAGAACTTTTTTAAAGTGTTGAAGAGTAAAGATGTCAGCTTGAGGACTAAGGTGCGCCTGACCCAAGCCATGCTGTTTTCAATAACCTCATATGTATGCGAAAGCTGGACAATGAATAAGGAAGATCGTAGAAGAATTGATGCTTTTGAGTTCTGGTGTTGGAGGAGAATATTGAAAGTGCCATGGGCTGCCAAAAGAACCAATAGTTCTGTTTTGGAAGAAGTGCGTCCAGAGTGCTCCTTAGAGGCCAAGATGACCAAACTTCATATCTCATGCTTTGGACATGTTGTCAGGAGGGACCAGTTGTTGGAGAAGAATATCATGTTTGGTAAGGTGGAGGGTCAGAGGAAAAGAGGAAGTCCCCCAATGAGATGGATTGGCCAAGTGGCAGCATCGGTGGACTCAAGTGTGGCAACAAAATGAGTTTGGCCCAGGATTGGGTAGTGTTTCATTCTGCTGTGCATAAGGTCGCTATGGGTTGGTACTGACTCGATGGCACCTAACAACAATGCACTGCCACATTCACAGTGGTATTTTCAGAAAGGTAAATACTCATGTACCAATTTCATCTTTCACATTCTTATGCATCTATTGTACATATGAATGTATATGTATATATATGTTCAAAAATAACGATGTGTAAATATGTATATTTACACACCTATGTACATATATAGAGTCCTGATGTGGTGCTGTGGACTAATGTGTCAGACTACAAAGTCGTTTGAACTGCAAAGTCAGTGGTTCAAGCTCACCAGCTGCTCCTTGGAAACCCTGTACAGGGTTACTATGGGTTGGAAATGACTCAAGGGCACTTAACAACAACAACATATACATATATATGCACATACCCATTTTTACACATACATATGCATATACAACATTTTACTCTTCTTCCCGTAATAATTCACCCCATATCTACCTGCAGAGCAATGTTGTTCTAAGGATAAGTGTGTATCACTATTTATCTCTATCCCCCTTTGTCCTCCCCCACTGTGTCTTCACTATCATTCTGTAATCCTCCTTCTCTTTTATATGTTATTCTTCCCTTTTTTGTATGTTGTCCTCCCTGTCACTCAAGTTAACATATATCTACCCTATAACCAGTGAACTACTCTTCCGTCCGTCCTACCCCTGGCAACCATCACAGAATGTTTCATTTTTCTCTTATAAACTAATATGTTTGCAGAATATAAAATTGTATATATCTTACTCTTCCTTTCATATCCACTCAGGGTATTACTCAATCCATGTATCTATGACCAGACACTGTTGTTTCAGGATTGTGTATATATCACTATTTACAACTATCTCCTTTAGTCCATGCATACCTTCCTGTATCTTCAATTATCTTCATTATTTCTGCCACCCTCTTCTTTTTGTATATTTCCCCCACCCTTCTTTCATATTTCCCTCCCATCACACAACCAAACATGTGTCTACCCTCTAACCTGTGAATTATTCTCCCCTCCCTTGGTAACCATGAAAGAATGTTTCTTTTAGTCTGGAAATATTTTCTTAAGCTTTTATAATAATGGTCTTTTTTATAATAATATTTGTCTTTTTGTGATTGACTAATTTCACTCAGCATAAGTTCACCCAAGTTATGAGGTGTTTCTCAGATTCATCATTATTTTTGAACATTTCATGGTATTCCATTGTGTGCATGTACCAAAGTTTCTTTATAATTTACATTCATATATCTTAATTGCTGTTATATTATATATTTTTATCCAATTATGTTAAACTATTTTATCCTACTAGGGATTTATTCTCCATATAATGTCTTCCATTTATACTGTATTTTCCACCAACACAACACATTAAACTATATAAAAATATATGCTATACAATAGCCATTATTTGCATGCCATGAATATATAAGTAATGATCCTTTTTAATCTTAGTTATTTGCTGTGGTTGCAACTCTTTTATGAAATTTTATTTTTCTTGGGGTTAATAATTGCTTCATTTTAATAACCATTTCAATATCATATTACTACTTCAAATTTAACAACTCTCTGACAGAGATGTCTTCTGCTGCCTGCGTGGCAGGAGATTAGGTCTGACTTCAGCATTTTATGGAGGGTAGGAAATCACAGTTTATCAATGTAATCCTCATTTTCTTGGTGATGCCTAATGATAGACTTGGTTGTGTCTGGGATCCTGACTTCTGAATACTTTATAAAATCTCTTGGAGACTTTCTGCCCTCTTGTTTTCTGTCCAAGTCTGAGCCATTACTTTATTATAAATATTATTTCACCTATAAATATTTAAATGAGGTGTTAAGTGCTGTTGAGTCTGTACTGACTCACAGTGTGCCTGTATAAGGTTTCTGAAGAATGACTGGTGGGTTTGAACAGCTCTCCTTCTGGTTAGCAGTCCAGTGCTTATCCTACAGTGCCTCCAGAAATCCAAATTATATATGAATAATATAATTATAATGTATGATTTAGCATCCATTCAATTTTTCCTTTAAGCATCCTGACAATACAGTCGATGTGAAGAATAGCCTGATCCACTTGTGAAAAGAGTTGTTTTTTTCTGCTGTTAAGTTGATTCCTACTCTCAGGGATACTATGCACAACATAATGAGACACTACTCGATCCTGTGCCATCCTTACATTGTTGTTACATTTGAACTCATTGTTGCCACTGTGTCACGCCAATTCCTTGGGGGCCTTCCTCTTTTTAGATGACCCTCAGCTTACTAGTCCTGGTGTATTTCTCTAGTACAAGGACTGGACTGAAAGGTCTGTTTGAACTGCAATGTCGGCTGTTCAAATCCACTATCCACTCCTCAGAAAACCTATACAGCATTGTTATGAGTCAGAACCAACTCGACATCACTAAACAACAACAACCATTTACCAAGCATGTCGTACTTCTCTAGGGACTGATCCTTTCTAATAGCATGTGCAATGTATGAGTGTCATGCCCAAAGTATTAAAAAAGTACATATCAAGAAATTCCTCGTATATTTCCTGGTTCTGGGACTTAGGTCTGTGCTATTATGAAGAGTACACCATTATTCCTTGATCACATATATTTGAGAAATGCTATATTAGAAGAAATCCAGTTGAATGATAATAGTACTTGCTCATAATTTTTTTTAAAAAAATCACCCAAACATAATAATAAAAATTAAAAAAAAAAGAACCACATACAAACCACTATTTCACTGAAGTAGGAATTAAAGCAGATGTCTCACCTTATTGAATAAAGGACATTTCCATTTTTGAAAATTCTTAGCAATTTGTTGTCTGTAGTAACTTCATGAAAATTGGCACCCTTTTCATTGGCAAAGAATAAATCAGGTTTCCAAATAGAATCCAACATGGAAGGATCTAGGTCTAAAGAGTCATCAGGATATTCAGTATATGCAAGGCGAGGATCATTCCACTTCTGCCGAAGAAAGATATTCACTCTGTAGTCCTATGAT